CTGCCTTCGGCTCAGGTCATGATCCTGGAGTCCCAGGATCGAGTCCCGCATCAGGCTCCCTGCTCAACGGGGAGTCTGCTTCTCCCTCTGACCCTTCCCCCTCTCATGCTCTTTCTCTCTATCTCATTCTCCCTCTCAAATAAATAAATTAATTAATTAATTAAAAAAAAAAGAAAATGAAAGTTATTAACAGGATATTTGAAATGATTACAGTGTTGGGAACAAACCTATTTCGTTCACTGGAGTTTCAGGTAAAGACTGCAGCTCTCGAATGTAGAATTTCAGGAAGGAGGGGAGGGGTAAATCGGTTTTCTGACATCACCTGCAACAGTTCTGAGTGGTCTTTTCCTCGCATTTCATTTTACCAACAAATTCATGAGCCACAGAATAAAACACTTCTTTTCACTGGGAAAAACTGAATTGGTTGTTTCAGGTTATTCAAGTGAAGCTGTTAGAAGCCGAATCTAGTCTATAAATCCACCTGAGGAAAGAGTATCACATGGTTTGAATATGAAGAATAAAGGATTGAAAGGGTGAGGAATTATCTAGAAAGAAAATCAGAAAATGGTCTTTAGTCTTAGCTACCTTGCTGCTGCTGAAGAGAGAGAAACGGAGGAGGAGAAGGCAGAGAGGGGGAAGAGGGAGAGGAGGAACAGTAGCAGGGAGGAGGCAAAGAAGGAAGAAAAAGAAAAAACACCACTGTAGCGGGGGCTCTTCCCCTCAGGGATGTCTTTTCTGCTGTAGCTGTCTTTGAACTCTTATAGCCTTGCAACTCACTTTATAAACTCTCCGGGTCCTCTTCCTGTTCTTCTTCCAGCTTCCAACTAATTCTTGTCTTTTTAGCAGTTTTTAGTTCTCTTACAGTAGGAGCATGGAAAATGAAATAGGAAAATCCAATCAAATTGGTCTTCTGTCTGCCCAGGGATGCAGCATGTGGTCAAGACTGGGACAACAGCTCTGGACTCAAATGAGATTTGGCATTCCCGAGTGCACTGTAGTTTGTCTACCTGTACCTCTGTCTCTCCACGGAGATGATTAAGCCCTCGACCATATGTTCTCATTCCTCTGTTCCCAGTATATAGTTCCATGTTTGCTATAGAAGGGCATACAGGAAACTATTCATTGAATGAGTGAACAAATGAATGAATGAACAAATGAATGAAATAGAAATGGCAACACTTGTGTTGTTACCTTCCCCCGCCCCCGCCACCCTCCCGCCCAGTAATTACTCAAGGAACAACTTCCAGGGTAACTACTCAAGAAGGTCCAGAAGTTGTAGTTTTTCAAAAACATACATAAATTCACAGGCACTTGTTTAAACCCATATTTTCTCCCCCCCCCCCGCCCCCGCAAATCTCTATAAATTGTCAAGCAAATACTTCAGGAAGCAGGATGCTACATATACAGCTCTGTTTGGTTGTTACCAGATTAGTGGAGCCAGAATGGAATGTTAGACTATTTTTTTTCGATCCAAGGATAATCTATTCTTGCAAAGATAGTTACAAAAGGCGGTAAGAGTTCCTACGGGGAACACAGACAGTGTCTGAATCGGATGAAGACACAAGAGCACCCGATGCAGCCGCGTCAGGGCGCGATCAGGTGTCCATGGCTTCATCACCGTCTTAAATGGAACATCTATATTTCGTCTGGGTTTAATGAAGCCAGTAACAACCAACTCTTTGTTGAGTGATATTGGAGACTTTTTTTTTTTGCTTTTAACTTGACGTATTTTAATTTGTGCTTAACTAGCCCTCCCACAGCAGGTCCTCAGACTGGCACTTTAGGGACAATTTGCTAAGTGTTTTCTGTGTTCACCACAGAGCTGAGGAAACAGATAAGGAGAATCAATGAGGCCGAGGCCGTTTAGGAAGAGAACGTTCACTTCCCGTCAAGAGCTTTGGCCGGCTCGTCTCGCCGCCCGCTCCGCTGGGAGCTGCTCTGCTCTGGTCCCTCGGTGCCTGTTCTCGTGGGAGCCTCTCTGCCCCTCGGTGCCTGTTCTCGTGGGAGCCTCTCTGCTCCGACCGCTAAATGACTTTGCTGTCGTGTTCTTCAGTTTTCAGGGCTGTATCTCCTGTCTTTCTTCACCATCCTCATCGGGCTGGTGCTCTACTCCTCCACCTCCACATACATAGCCCAGGACCCCCGAGTGTACAAGCAGTTCCGCAATCCTTCGGGCCCCGCCGTGGACTTACCGGCCACAGCTCAGGTGGAGCCCTCAGTCACCTACACCAGCCTGGGCCAGGAGACCGAAGAGGAGCCCCACGTCCGTGTGGCCTAAGATGAGGCCCTCCCTGCCCACTGAAGTCACCTCCGTGGCCACGTTGTTCACCCTTCATCTCTGTATTGTACATAGAGAAAGGTATTTATTAGGTGCGGTTTACGCAGGTGGACTGCAAGGTAGCAAATCTGAAAGCCTGTAAGAGGCACAAGCTAAACATCCCTGGAGTCACGGCCTCCGAGCCACCTGACTTAGAGAGACGCCTAGCTAGTGTGTGTCCTGATCACAACCCTCCTGCATTAATTACTGTGAAAACTTTTGAATTAAAAGCAAGTATTATTATTATTTGTATTATTATTGTTACTGTTCTTACACTAACTTTCAGGAGGATGTTTTGTACTCCTGATGAGAACTATCGCCAAACCCACATGTAGTTAACATAAATCCCACTTTTCTATGGCAAGTCACTTTTTAAGAATCATACTTTATTTTTTTGCACAGTCTCTATGAGTGCTGCATTCCACAGGAGCTCCACCCTGAGAAGTTTCCTTAGCCTAGGGGCCTGGTGGCTGATGGTTTCCTCTGTTACCTGTTGGATTGCCTGCTCAATAAGTATTTTGTGCTGTCACCCTTGTGGGGAGGGGCAACTGACCATATAATTCTCTATTCTAGGAATAGATATAAAACAAACACTTGAGCTTTTTTATATTTCAATCTCTGATTACTCCGGGCCATTGCCTTTCTGTTGTACCACGTGATTCTGCTAATGAAGTCCCTGTAATAATAGGATAAGGAACCTTTCATTTCCGTGGCTTATAGGAAACCCCAGGAATAATAATATCATGTGTGTTTAGGGTAATATATATATATATATATATATTACATATATTAAAT